CAATTTTTCACATTTCGCGTGTATTCTCTATGGGACATGACTTTTTCTCAAAACTGGATTCTACACTTCTGTCTTTCGCGAGCAAAATCTCCGTTGTTTTAGCTTCTTTTTCGCTGAGCTTCGGATATGTTGTAGCTGAGACAATGAGCTATCACGAGTGTGCCCTTTATTTTTCGATTAGATGCCGGGATCATGCTCATATTTCACTTGCAAAGTAGAATTTCAGAATTCCATTTCCCGTTTACGTGTAATCGCTATGGGAGATGTTTTGGTATATCGGTATACGCACTTGACTTCCAACCTCGAGATCCCTGGTTCGAGTCCGGGTGTCTCCAACAATTTTTTGCTTCACTTTTTTTTCCTTTTGACCTTCACTGTACCATCTCCTTTGATTATTTAAACACGTAGAATCGCAAATAATGTCATAAATAACCCTTTTTACCTTATTATTACCCTATTTTCACTTAATCCATTACTTTTTGCGTGTAATCCCTATGGGAGATGACTTTTTCTCAAATCTTGAGTCTACATTACTGTCTTTTGCGAGCAATATCGCCGTTATTTCTGCTTGGATTTTGTTGATTTTTGAGTATGTTGTAGCTGAGACTATATGCTATCTAAATCAACCCTCATTTTTTCAATAAGATGTCATGATCGCGCTCATGATCATGATCATGATCATCATGATCATCATTATCATAATGATGATAATCATTTATCAATTACATTTTCATTTCTTTGAATAAGATAAAATCGTCAAAAGGTGTTCTTCATGATGTAAATTAGAGTCACATGTGTAACTGGTTACTGCACAGGGTCAAAGGTCATATATTGTTTCAATCTATCTTCCCTAGATCCATGATGATCAAGGAGACACAATTTAATCTTGACATATGAATAGATCATAATGGGAGAAGCATTTTACAAAATAATATATCGTGTAATGCATTATTCGTTATGTAAACCATTATCATACGTATCACCTAATTCGTCTAAGTGACGAATTAAAGTCTAGTTTATATTGAACTAATTAATTTGCTTATTATGTTGTAAAAAAATTTCCTTTGTATAATGTTGTATCCAAGTATTACCGTCACCTTTTCCTTTTTAAAGGAATTGGAGCACATTCTGTACACTTGTTTTGAATGTGTACTTTATTAGTTTGGATACAAATGGAAAATATTTTTTAAATATGTCTGTGTTTATAATGTATGAGACAATGTACTACATGTATGTTTATACTGTAAGAACAATTGTGTTCCTATTCATCATTTTGTATAATTATGAAGATCTGAATAAAGGCAAACAAGATTTTTTTTTTTTAACACACACACACATACACACACGCACACACACATACACGCGAGCACACGCGTTCATCATCGTCAACACCATCATCATCATCATCGTAATAAAGGTACGTTGAAATGTATCGGACAGCAAAATACAACATTTGTTCTTCAGATTCATCAGCGCCTTTGTTTAGGCATCTCCGATGGTACTTTACAAATTCTGGATATTTATCTATTTCTCCCCCACATGAGTTCTTCCCTTCTCTCTCTCTCTCTCTCTCTCGTCATTTCTCTCCTTCTCGATTTCCTCGTCATCTCTCGCCTCGGTCTAGCTACATGTAACCAGCCGTTGAATATTGATTTGTAACCATTTTTCATGTGCGTAAAACAACATGTTTGTCTGAAGTGTGTATATTTTGGTTCAATTTTGTTTACACTATTCAATTTCATTGTAAATCAACCACTATGAGTTCCTGAACTTTACGTGTTGATGTTTTAAAACCGAACAAATAAATAAATACATCTAAACCAGTATTCACATTTCTGCTTGTACATGAATTATAGCACTTTTTGATGACATGCGCATACTAATTTTTATGTAACACCTTACAGGTATATCCGATTTCGACGGAAATGGTATCAAAATGTGCGTTAGACTTTTGGAAAAAAGTCATGAAACGACAATTCAAAATTCCAAGCGGTTGCGGCGCAATCTCCGAAAATGTCGAGGGGGGCCTCCCAGGCCCCCTCCCCGGAGTACAGTAAGGGTTAAAGGTACATTGAAAAGTATTGGGCAGCAACATACTGCATTTTTTTTACGTTGGTGCTCTACAAATTCCCGCATTGTGCGACAGCTGGAACTTCATATATTTCTCCCTCACATCTAGTTGCTCCTTTTCTCTATCTCTCTCTCTCTCTCTCTCACACACACACACACACACACTCTTCTCCCATCATTTAGGTCCAAATGTCCAAAACTACATCAATTACATTTCAAACTTCAAATAACACAAACGAATAATGGTTGTTAAAAAATGCTGTAAATAGCCTTTATTATTATGTGCATTTAAATTCACTACATTATATTGTGATGCAGTTTTTGTGGCAATAGTGTATGTTCTACAAAGACAGCAGTTATGTACAATTAGCAGATGTTTTTTATGCATTTATTGAAAAAATCAAATACAAAATATCAAACAGTAATTATATATAGTAATATATATAAAATTTATTTTACATTAAATGTGACAACTGAAATAAATATAATAAATATAATTGAAAACTTGAAAATATGGGGGTAAACAAAAGAATTAAGATAAATGCAGATTCCAATTACTACCATAACATATTAAGAATGAATGTTTTAATCCATAGCAGCCAGGGGAGGGACGCTAAAGGTGTGTGTAGGCAGGCGCGTACGCAGGAATTTTTTCGGGGGGGGGGGGGGTAAGACCACATTTTTTTTGTGTCCCAAAATCTGAAAATATAGCCGATCGATATTTTCGTTTCGTTGGGGGGGGGGGTAAGGTCGGCTTTTTGGGGTCACCCATTACCACAATTGAAAAAAAAAAGGGGGGGGGTCCTCTAAAACACACACATAAAAAAGTTAAGGGGGGTTAACCCCTACCCCCCCCCCCCTTCCTCCCCTGTGTACGCGCCTGTATGTAGGAGAATAGAGAGTCACGTTTACAGATTTCATTTCTTCTTCATAAAGTATCTGAATAAAAAGTGGGCAGAAAGAAAGATTTTTTTTCTTCAATCTTACTTCTTCCCGTTTATTGTTTTACTTTGTTTCATTTTCCTTCTGTCCTACTTAGTGATTTCACATATTATCCTACGTGAACCTTTTATGTATCTTGTGATAATGCCTTCTTCCTTCTTTATCGTTTCGTCATTTCCCAAATTGTAACAAATAAAGTTGTATTCTGGTCATACAATAAAGGTGAGAGAAACTATATTGAGAATGGTAAATAGTTTGAGGGTTTACAATCAGGAAATTGAAAAGGAGGTAGCTAAATTGAGTTGAACCTCCTTATACAGTGGGACCAGGCGCATACGGGGGGGGGGGATTTCAAATTTGAAAATTACGCCGAAAATTTCGCAACGACTCGGCCAGCCACTGCATAAGCAGGGGGATAAGAGGACATTTTTAATTTTTTTGGTCCCAAAAATTTCGCAACGATTCAGCCAGCCGCTGAATAAGCGGGGGGGGGGGGGGTAAGAGGACATATTTGTTTTGTTTTGTGCCAAGGGAGGAGGGGTAGGCTCGGCTTTTTTTTGGGTCACCCATTACCACTTTTTTTTTAAACCAGAAAAAAAAAGGGGGGGGGGTTCCTCCAAAACATACACATAAAAAAGGTCCAAGGGGGGGGGGGGGGGCGGGGTTAACCCCAAACCCTTCCCACCCCCCTTGCGTACGCGCCTGAGTGAGACTATAATAATGTGGAACAACACTCATTTGAATGTTTTGTCCAAACTTTATAGAGCTCAATCTCATCATATTTCGACTTCGATTTGCGATTTGCAAATTCAATCTTTTTCAGGGGCATTTCTCTTATGAGTCTTACACACAAGGAATTAGAAAGATCACAACTATTTTCACCTTCACCAGGACATAATCTTCTAGTTAAAGTGGAAATTCAAAGAAAATCACAAATATGTCAACTATAATGTATCACTAGAAACTGGTAAGCTTATAGATGGCCATCGTACAAATTTCAGGTCAATAACATATTATTCGGGTGATTTATAAAAATACACATACAACCACCTCCATATAGCATCTGGGATATACGAGAGATTCGACAGAAAAATAACGATGTTTTAATGACGTCACATAATGGACCAATGCTGCCCAAGCATGCAGACGACATCCAATAAAGAATTAACATAATTGCAAAGCAATTATTTCTTAAATTATAATGAGTTTAGTGTATATAAACGTGATGGCATTTCAAACCATTCAAAAGGGGATATGAAACCGATTCTGATAACTAAAATCTGTTGTTTGTAAATACACATGATAGGGGTAAATTAATAATCAAAGAAACCGGACTTTCAAATTGAAAAATCCTGGAATGATAATAGGACGGCATTTGTTCCCTCTTGAAATGCCGAACATACCGCGTTGTGTGCAGCTGAATATACAATGGCGTCTTTTTTTGTTTACAAGCGACAGATTCCTTTATTTTTGTATCGCTGCATTTGTCATCAAAATAAAAACATGCGCGGGGGTTTAGAGTGAGGCAATAGATTATACATTTAGCCTGACGGTAGTGAAGAAAAAGAAAGACCTCAAGAGAAGATGAAAAAACATGCACTGAAAATGTGTGAGATGTCATGGGACATCGTCTGCTTGTGCAAATCAAGTCCATCCTGTGATCTCACACATCTCAGCAGCGTTCGAAGACCTCTTCAGGCGCTATGCCGGGGCTGTATTTAAGCGTTTTGTAATTATTTTATAATAAGCATTACTACGAATGTTTCAGAGCATTGAATTTTTATAGCCTTACCGAATCAAAGTTTCAGCTTTGCAATAATGAAAATAAAGTTAGTTTTTAAAATCAATGAATATCTACTTTAAAGGGAAATCCAACCCTTATAGCAAACTATTCTAAAAGAAAGCTGACAAATCAGAGGGGCAGGCTGGTACGATTTTAAACGAAATCAGACAAAGAATAAGAAAGTTATGAATATTTTGTTTTTGTAAGCTGTAATCACTGAACGTATGGGCACTTCAAATTTTCTGAATTGGTAGAGTCACTATGACGAAGCGCTGCGCAACTTTCCAATTGTTCCAACATACGAAATGAAATCATAAACGTCAATTTTTCAAAATATATGACTCGAGAGTGTCATTTATTTTTAGAGAACACTTAATAATATATTATCCACAATATATTTTGAATATCTCCCCAAGGGAAAAGCCGCGTAGGAGAAAAAACAGCAACACGAATGAGAGAGTTAATTATTATCCGCGGCATCGTCACAATCCAGTCAACCAAATTGCCTATTTGAGATTCGCATGTTTCAAACACTCATACACTGCCATAACTTTCTTATTATTAGTCCGATTCATTTTAAACTAAATAAAACAATTATATAAACAAGTCAATTAACAAGTGGTATAGTTTCGTGAGTGATCATAAATTTATAGCAATAAACAATGTAGGTTATAATTATACAGTGGTAATTGATATAATAACAAAATAATTATAATTAAATCCCAATACTGTGCGCCCCTGTCCCACGGCTGCTAATATACCGGTAGATTCACACATACTGGTGTCCTAACTAGCAACTCATAACAAGGTATATGACGGATAAGTTACTTAGACCTTGATCCTAACTTCATACATTTCGTCATAATACTTCATAGCCTGATCGGTATATCTAATGACGTCAGGTCGAACGTCGTCACGTGATGGCATCTTGCTTGCCGGCAGAAATTCGCTGCTTCTGATAGCTCTGCCGAAGAAGTACACAAAATTCTCTACGAGGTCCTCAAAAGGAACCATCCAACTCTTCGTTACTTCGGAAGACTCATCCCACTTCAAGAGCGATTCGTCGTAAGGCAGCCCGGCCGCTCGGCAGATCTTCGGCAGTATTTCGGCTGGATTCGTCAACAGCTCGTCGCTGTCGACTACGATGGATTCGGAACCTAGATTTTCTTTGACATACTTCCACATTTCATAAACATCTTTATGTACTGATCCACCTCCTGCGTTTGGGAACGGGTAGTCGCGTCCTACGTCGAACGTTTCCTCAACTGCGGATTCGCCTTTCAACATCCCCAAGGCTGAGTGTTGGGCAAATACTGATTTTCGAAGCGAATTAAACACTCTGAGAGGATGTCGAATTAAGAAGATATGCTTGAAGCCTTTTGGGAGGAACTTGTACTGTTCGGGTGACAGAGCAAAAGACATATCCTTCACCAAGACATGACGGCTTACTGACTGCTCCAAAAAACGACCGATCGATGCATAACTGTTAAAAAGAAGAAGAAAAAAAACGGGCCATGAAATAAAAGTTTAAAAACTACTTGTCTATCATCAAAATCAGTCTTTCGTCGGGCCTGGGCATGGCCTATCAGGGCCCTGTTAACAAACCTTGTTATCAATAACAAGTTACAATAATTGTTATAAGCTACTGAAATCGTGGCATTTGATTGGCGTAGAGGAAATGTGTTACATAGAAATGTGTTATTGATAACAAGTTTCATGAAACAGGGCCTAAATCCTGCAACAGATTAAACATAATTCTACCATATCATTACTGATCAATCTGTAACAGAGGAAAACATTTCAATATTTTGGAACCATGTTGATGTGGTCCTTGTTATTACAATCTTTAAAAGTTGTAGAAGAGGAAATTTAATGTCCTCTCAATTTTTCCCATCCTATATTCTCTTTATTCTTTCCCCTGCTCTTTTCAACATTCGTTTGGGGGAGAGCTAGGGTACGCGGGGGCATGGCTCAAATTAATTATTTGTCTTCGGGTCCTCTTAAAGAAAAAAGAGCTTCTCAGGGGGGCTCTTTTAGTACTGACGGGGGCTCTTTTTTAAATACAAATTTCCATTGAATTTGGTGGTACCCATGATACTCTTAAATTCCTTGCTATTTCATCATTATCGGCATTATTTCCCTTTTACAACTTTACAAGTTATAACATACGGTACAGCCAGGCGCGTACGCAGGGGGGGGGGGGGGTTGGGGGTTGAACCCCCCCCCTTTGGTATTTGTTATGTGTGTATTTTGCAGGAAACCCCCCCCCCCCTTTAGGTATTTAAAAATTATACCAACAAAAATTATACCAATGGCCGACCTAAAAAAGTTGCCTTTACCCCCCCCAACGGAGAAAAATGTCAAATTTTCAAATTTCGAGACCAAAAAAAAAAAAATGTCCTCTTATTCCCCCCCCCCCCCCTTCCCCGATTATTCAGCGGCTGGCTGATTTGTTGCAAAAATTTTCGGCCCGATTTAAAAATGTTAACCCCCCCCCCCCCCCTTGAAAAAAATCCTGCGTACGCGCCTGCATGCAGCTAATGGTCAGATCTCCTCCCTCTGTACGAATTTTTTTTGTCCAAGCCCGTACAGTCGCCTCCTCGCCAACTGGTTTCATTTTACTAAAGTTAGCTTTCGGTTGATTTACTGGTCAAGGTTCATTATTTGCTTGTCTTTTGGAATCACCACATTTCAGAGGATTCACGATTTTCACAACGAAAACTTCGCCACGTTTCGGTCCTTGCGCGATCGCCTCTATCTAGCTCCAGAAGATATGGGGCGGCAGCGTGGACATGCATCAGTATACTACCGGCGCAGCGAGTATAACCAGGCACTTTTTTTAGAACCTTTTTTTTTACCTCGATCGATTACATGTATGTGCCCCCCCCCCCAAAAAAAAAAACACAACATCAAACTCTGGCTACGTGCCTGTACATAACCACTTCTGACGGCCGCACTGCACTGCGAGCTTCCGTTGTTTGTATCTGTTATACTCATAGAGTTGTGGAGATGGGAGATATAGCGCAATCTTGCAAAGAAAAAGCGTTCCCATTTGTCTACAATATGGCAGTGGCGGATCCAGGGAGGGTGGGCCCGGCCCCCCCCCCCCCCGAAAAAAGAAGGGAAAAAAGGGGAAAAAAGGGGATTTTTTTTTTTTTTTTTTTTTAAGTGTTCCTCCTCCCCCAAGCCACTGAACGAAATATCTGACGACGTAATTTTTCCAAATGTGGAGAGAAAGGGAGAGAAAAAAAGAAGAAAGAAAAAAGGTAGGGAAGGTCAGTCGCGATTTTTCCGCCAGCAAAGTGTAAATCAGGGGGGGGGGGGCGGGGCACTGGCGTCTTGATCGGGGAGGGGGTTTATTTCTAATTCGATAACCGTTACGGTGGTTTACACATAATGCTTAAATGACATAATTTTCCGAGATTTGTCCTCATTTTTTAGTAAATTATACATTTTTATGCGTTTATTGTAAAATGACAAATTCCTAAATTTACAGCCAGGCAAGAAATATGCTTCTTGAGGTGCCCCCCCTCCCACACAATTTTTTGACAAAGTATATTAAAGAAAAATAGAAAGAAAAAGAGCAAGAAAGAACGAATAGTTGAGCTTCTGGGGGCTCCGCCCGCTGGACCCCACGCCAATCAGTGTCCTGCAAGTGTCACAAATAAAATATTAAAATATGTTCATCTGACTGTAATCAAATGCCTAAAACCCCTGAGCTTCCGGGGGATCTGCTCCCTGCACCCCGCCTAGGGCCCTAAGGCGGACCCCTGGATTCTAATAATGTTAATGCCTAAAACCCCTGAGCTTCTGGGGGCTCCGCCCGCTGGACCTCACACCAATCAGTGTCCTGCCAGTGTCACAAATAAGGTATAAAAATATGTTCATCTGAACGTAATCAAATGCCTAAAACCCCTGAGATTCCAGGGTTTTCGCACCCTCGACCCCACCAGGGCCCCTAAGGCGAACCCCTGAATGCTTGTCTGACCGTAATTTATTGCCTTAATCCCCTGGGTCTTCGTGAGCGGACAAGGTGTCAAAATATGCTTATCTGACCGCAGAGGTGTAGCCATGGGGCGGTGGGCGCCTCTCCCCCCCCCCCCACCAAAAAAAACACCGGCCAAAAAAAAAGAGAGGAGAGAATTTTTTTTTTTGAAATTCAGAGGATTAAAAGTCGAGAACGGTACAACGTATCGGTTTCTTTCTCTAGTGATTAATGAAACGTAAAAGCTTCGGCGCTTTGCGGAGGAGGGAGGGGGAAATCGCCCCTCCCTGTACCCCCCCCCCCCCCCACCAAACTACGTCAATGTAGGTCACCATTACGTACCATTACGTCTTCTTTCTTAAATAATTTTAATGAAACGTCAAAGCTTCCGCGCTTCGCGCAGGAGGGGGAGGGGACTGAATTCAAACAAGGATTAAGAGTCGAGAATGGTATAACGAATCGTCTTCTTTCTCTAAAAATTTAATAAAACGTCAAAGCTTCCGCGCTTCACGCAGGATGGGGGCTGAATTCATACAAGAATTAAGAGTCGAGAATGGTAATACGAATCGTCTTCTTCCTCTAATGATTTAATGAAACGTAAAAGCTTCCGTGCTTCGCGCAGGAGGGGGGGGGGACCGAATTTAGACAAGAATTAAGAGTCGAGAATGGTATAACGAATCGTCTTCTTTCTCTAATAATTTAATAAAACGTCAAAGCTTCCGCGCTTCGCGCAGGATGGGGGGGCTGAATTCATTCAAGAATTAAGAGTCGAGAATGGTAATACGAATCGTCTTCTTTCTCTAACGATCTAATGAAACGTAAAAGCTTCCGCGCTCTGCGCGGGAGGGGGAAACTGAATTCAAACGAGGAAAAGAGTCGACAACGGTACCACAAATCGGTTTCTTTCTCTAATGATTTAATGAAATGTAAAAGCTTCGGCGCTTCGCGCGGGAGGGGGGAGGGTAAACTGAATTCAGACGAGGATTATTTTCGAGCACGGTACAACGAATCGTCTTCTTTGTCTAATAATTTAATGAAACGTCAAAGCTTCGGCGCTTTGCGGAGGAAGGAGGGGGAAATCGCTCCTCCCTGCACCACCCCCCCCCCCCCTACGTCAATGCAGGTCACCATTACGTACCGATATTTGGCTCGCATAATTTCAAATTTGGGCCCCCCTAAGAAATCCTGGATCCGCGACTGGTGTAGAGCCTCTTAAGCGTTGGTAGCCCCAAAAGTTTGATGGTAAAATTTGACTCAAATTGTATCATAATGTGAAAGAGGATCTAATTTAATTTCTGCCTGGGTTTTTAAAACAAATGCGTTTAAAGTCGAATATTGATGAAAGAATACAAAATTTAGATTTTTCTGCGTACAACAGAAAACCCAAATTATTGTTCTGCTTCTAATGATGCTAACTTAATATCAGGGTGGACTTCCCCTCCCTGCATAGCAGAAAAGTGTAATCTATTCCTTTTTCCATTAGACCATTTTTCTTCAACATGTCTCAGCAACAAGTTGTTTTTATTCTCTAAGCAAAATAAACCAACATTTCAAATATATACAGGGCGTCTATAGGTTTTTTTTTTGTTAACAAAACTTTAAAAAGTTACGCAAAAAGTTGTTTGAATATGAAGCTAAAATCTGACCGAACGTTGCCTGCCCCAGATATCGATTTGCACAATCATGGATTGTATGTACTAATGTGTTCACTCCGATGGATTGATTATAGTCCTTAGCATACATGTATAAAACAAGCTACAATACACACACCGTTTGGAATAGTAGAATTGTAAGCAGGGAACCTTAGGTTCTTGATTAGTGCACGGCAATCAAACCTTTCTGATTATCATAATAATTAAAACACCATATGGAATAGAATCGTAAACAGGTAACCTTAGTTTCTTGATTATGTGCATAACGATAAAACTTCATGATTATAATACTAAAAACACCTCTGTTTTACAATCTTTTTAGGAACTCTTCAAAAAAAAAAAAGATTAGAGATAAATGAAGTAAAAGTAATTATAGTTGTACAGGTTTATGCACAGAGAAATTCAAGTCCATTGAATTCAAATAGTGCATAAGCAGGCTAAGGTAATGAGAGTATTATGGAAAGCATATTATCTAGGTACTCTAAAATGCAAAGACTCTCCGGAGACATACATTTTGCACAATAGAAATTTTAGTTATTTTGTGAAAAATTGTTGGACACAAGTGGTGGATCCAGGGGGGGGGGGGGGGGGCTGGGGGCTGAGCGAATTATCGGCCGGCACGATTTTCAAATTTTTGGGAGCAAAAAAATAAATAAATTAGTGCTCACTACCCCCTCCCCCCCCCCCCCCCCCCACTATGCGAATTATCGGTCGGCTGTGTCGCCGCTAAATATTTTCTCACTAATTGGGCCCCCTCCCCTGCCGCCGGCTGGATCCGCCCCTGCAGTATGGTAACCTCTATAGACACCAACAAATTAGAGCGAGAAATCCTGCACGCTAACCAAATTTCCATAGTTCCATTTCATTGGTTTAAGGTTTGAAAGTTGAAACTCAATATTGTGTGAAAGTTATAACAGAAAAGATCATCTTTATTCTATAATTCCACGGGGGCAATTTGTAATTTTGCAATCGCCCCCTTGGGTAATCTCACGGAAGCGATTACGAAGCTTACGGGGGCGTATCGCCCACAGCCCTCCCGCCCCCCCCCCCCCCCCTCCACTCCGGGTCGGAATGACCGCATGCGTGTTACCAAAACGTCCGGTTAAGTGGTACTTTTAACGCACCAAAGTCCGGCTCGTACATACACAAAATTGACACACCGGACTTAGGGGTTTTTTTAAAAGGAGGGAACACGCACATGCGTACCCTAAATAACACTGAGTGGGGGGGGGGGGGGATTTTGAGCCTTGGCCGCATACATGTAAAACTTACGAAAGGTTCTCTTGTGTCGTTGCGTTCCCCTGCCCGGTCTCTTTAAGGTGATCAGCCATTCGTTTATAAATCTCTTCATTCCCTTCGTATTCGGCCGGTACATCAAGGTCTAGCTGTTGCTTTATATTCACTTGGGTGATTCTGCAGTAAGTGTAGGGTTCTAACCACACTTGGATGCCTTCAATGAAACTAAGACACTTTGTGAGAGCCGTAGAAACAGAGCGAGGTACACACCAGATAATTGTACGACTTCCATCATCACGAGCAGCTCGCCCTTCACTTGCAATAGTACCTTCTGCTATTTCACTTCCAATGCAAGGCAATTCCATGATTGATATTCCAGGGTTCAAAGGTTCGGTTTAAACTAAAAAATGGTTGAACCTGTTGAAGGTTATTATTCCATGTAACAAAGTCTGATCAACTTCAACATGAACACACATGCAAGTATAGTTTCAGTACGATGCATGCTTTATCAAACCGAAACGGGAGCGAAGTATCTACGACCGCATCTCTATGCTCTAACCATGCATGCGTGATCTGCTCTGGACAACGCACGCACCTCGCAGTGGCAGATCATGGACATACTACGAACACATAGCCAGATTGAGAAACAATCAAACAATATTGAATCCTTGAACTCTAAGTTTAAAGGTAAAGTCCAGTTATGGTCGTGCGATTGCATTGTGAAAGAAACGTTGTGGAATGGATCAGAAAAGGTTGATCATCTATCATATAAGTATTGGTGTGTTCTGCAAGGTTCTGGGTTAATCAATATGATAAGAATTTGGCCCAGTCTTCGTAAAGATACAAGCACTGTACACAGAAAGATGTATATGGGACTACATATAGCTCCGTTTAGTCTCATTTCACAACGCCCCATATCGTCAGAGTCAGCAGCCATACATGTTAGCCTATGGACTTTTTTTTTTTTTTAATCGTTAAAAATTCATTTTTTGTTTAAACGAAAAGCACATCCACCCCGACGTACGTTATCACTAGCTCTTTCATTGGAGCCCTCATGTCTCATTGACTTTTGAAAGTTCACCCACCGTAATTTTTCAAAATAGGTTGCAAGCTCGCCATTGCCTATAATACACATGTGAAACAAGTCGAACTTTGGACTCAGTCTGCCAAGCGATTGTAAGATTATAGATCAACAGGAAGGATAAGAAGCATGAATTATCAATTATCACTTCGGCTCGGTGTAAAAATGTCAGAGGTAAAAATGTCAGAGGTAAAATGTCACAGGTAAAAATTTCAGAGGTAAAAATGTCAGAGGAAAAAATGTCAGAGGTAAAAATGTCAGAGGTAAAAATGTCAGAGGTAAAAATGTCAGAGGTAAAAATGTCAGAGGAAAAAATGTCAGAGGTAAAAATATCAGAGGAAAAAATGTCAGAGGTAAAAATGTCAGAGGTAAAAATGTCATAGGTATAAATGTTAGAGGTATACAATAAAAACAAAAGCATGTGACAAGCTTGTTATAATTACACCCGGGTTATATAATTAGGCTTATCGAAAAAGAACAGCGAGGGATATTCTGCAGTCGTTATTTCACCGCTGCTTTATTTTCCACTTTCCCAGTTTAAATTTATTTACCTTTCGGCCCAAAATTGTGACTTTTTGCCCGATTATTGCCGAAGGAAGACGGGGGGGGGGGGGGAGGGTATTCTTCTTCTGGGGCACGGTGACCCGGCTGCTCTCCCCTTCCTCTTATATATATGCTTTGCTTTATATATCCTTCCGAACAGTGGTCAATGCCTAGGCAGAGCAGACAGACTAATGGGACATGGAAAAGTGAACAATAATGTGAGCGTTTGTTATCATTCTTATTATGCAAGTGTGGAAGAACATCAAAGAAAAAAGTTATTCCTTGAAAATCTATTTCAAATGACTTCATATCCCAGATATGACAAGTAACAGCTTTAAAATGAGGCCCGATTTGTATGCCATATGTTTGTGTAGTCCCATATCAATATCTTTCTGTGTACAGTGCTTGTTACTTTACCAAGACTGAGCCAAAGATTTTATCATTTTGATGACTCCAAAACCTTGCACTACACACCAATACTTACATGTTTATGCTAGATGATCAACCTTTTCTGATTGCTTCCACACCGTTTCTTTCACAATGCAACTTCGCAAGACCAGAACTCAACTTTATCTTTAAATGCCAACCGCACCATCACATTTTAGAGAAGTGCGCGCTTTGCAGAGGTTCGGTTTAAATGACATCGTTATTTATAATTGTCGGAGAGTTTAAAATGGGGATGAGCTTCTGAGTCGAGACAGTCTTTTACTTTTTGGAGCGGGTTTTTAGTTTTCGGAGCGACTTTTTACTTTTCGGAGCGACTTCTTGATTTTCTTATTCTTACTCCACTTCCTTTGCCGCCATTAGGTGCTAAAGCTTTAGCAGAGTTCGGGGCGCCCAGCCCTTATATGTAACTTTTCGTGATTCCTCGGCATTATGTAACTATTTTGTACTAAATGCACTACTCACTTTAACACTTGACTTTTGTCGAGAATTTTCATTTCTTCGTTTGGACTTTGTTCGTCTCTGGAACGTTACACGGGCTATGTTGCACACATCAACCAAATCAAAATATCAAAAAATGTTAGACATTCATTATATGCAAGCCTGATCACAACAAAATAAATTTCAAAATCTATTTTCCACATCCTCAGGACATGTACGAAACACTTTGCTAATTTTTTTGCTTGTACCTCTGACATTTTTACGACTGACATTTTTACCTCTGACATTTTTACCTCTGACATTTTTACCTCTGACATTTTTACCTCTGACATTTTTTTCCTCTGACAATTTTACCTCTGACATTTTTACCTCTGACATTTCTACCTCTGACATTTTTTCCTCTGACATTTTTTCCTCTGACATTTTTACCTCTGACATTTTTACCTGGCACCATCACTTCTGCTATGTTCATTATGTCCATTTCATCCAACCCCTACCGTAATTTTTCCATTTAGTAAAAGCAAACATTTTGCCGAGTTTAGCAAAAACATGAATATTCATGAACGGTCAGACAATACAGCCTTTTAGTACGTAACGTATAGTGAATGGGAATGGGCGATGATCCGTCCAGGAGGTGGAGGTCAGTGTTTTGTGCTGGCAATGTTCACGCGAGCGAAAATGAGACAATCGGAGCAATATGTACGCACACGTGCGCGACATGTGCGTTTATCTCTTACAGCTAGCCATGTAGATAAACTAATTTACCAAATATATCAATTAGAAGGCGGTTTCCCGGCAAAATTTGTATCATCATGTAGTAGTCAAAACATATTCTTTCACATGATTGGTAATAAGAGCTTCCATTTCATTTTTTTGAAATTAGGGCGTTTCCAATACTGGTCTTTACCTTTAACTCAACGGGACCTATTGTTGAATTCTTTGTACACTCAACCTTCCTTTTCACTTTAGTCCTGCCCCAGCATAGTTAGATACCATCCTATTTTTATTGTCAACATTTCTGTACATATATTTTGTATACATTTTTTCAAAATTCAACACAATATATTATTATGTGTACCGGGTAGCCCGTTTTTACCCCTCCCCCCCCCCCCCCGCTGTCTCTCTCATCTCTCTCTCTCTCTCTCTCTCTCCCTCTCTCTCTCTCTCTCTCCTCTCTCTCCTTCCCTCCCTCCCCTCTCTCTCCCTCTCCCTCTCTCTCTCTCTCCTCCCTCCCTTCCCATCTCTCTTTATATATAACTCTCTCTATCTCTCTCTCTCTTCTCTTTCTCTCTTTCATCTCTCTATTTATTTTTGTATTTATTTTATTAATTGCGTTTTATTTCAACAGGGTAGCCCCATCAGTAATTAAAATACTGTTATTCTTGGGAGCCTTGCATAACATAACATCATTACATGATGAATAGTAAACACGATATACCAGAAAGAATACAAATTTAAGTACTAGGCATTAAAAAAAAATATACATGTTTAGCGTCCCCGCCCGCTTCCTTTTTGGGGCCGCCTCCTATTTTTTTTTATTTTTTTTTTGTTGAAATTTTTGATTTTTTTTTTTTTTTTTTTTTTGAAATTTTTGATTTTTTTTTTTTTTTTTTTTTTTTTTTAAAGAAAAAAACACATGAAAAACACTGCTAAAATGGATCTATTTCTGATTTTAAAAAAATAAATAAAAAAAGTCGGCGGCCATCTTGAAAAATAGCCCGACGGTCAGGGAATGTACCGAGCGGCCATTTTGAGAGGCCATTTTGAAAGAAAAAAAAGAAGAAAAAAAAAGGGCTTCCCCCTTTCTAATTTTCGAAAAAACAGGACGCTAAACATGTTTTTTATTTTTTTTATTTGGCCCTATATATTCAAGTTTGTGACAGGCTCCCTATTTGCGTGTGCTATGTTTTGGATTTTGTTTACATTTTTCTCACATAACTTGTGCAAAAGATAAGGAAATCAGGGTAGTACTAGCCCCGACACCATATGTGTTGTCCCATATACATCTTTCTGTGTAAGTGATTGTTACTTTACCAAGACTCTGCCAAATTTATGATGATTTTGATGACTCCAGAACCTTGCATTACACACCATTATTACATGCTATATGATCAACTTTTCTGATTCATTCCACACCTTTTCTTTCACAATGCAATCGCATTACCAGAACTCAAGTCTATCTTTAATGTGTTCATTCCAGTTAAGGTGTTGGTCCAACCACACCCCAAGATATTTCACATTTTGAATATGTCTAATTTGCAAACCATCTATATCTTTATGTCGATTGGTGCCTCGATATGTCGTAGTTTTGGGAGTGTCCCTAAGAAGTCGGTCTCTCTCTCATCTTTGTTTCTCTCTCTCTCTCTCTCTCTTTCTCTCTCTCTCTCTCTCTCTCTCTCTCTTTCTCTATCACACACACACACGCACATTCTCACATCAGGGCCTTTGTGGGGCACCTGATTGTGGGGTATTTCTGTGCGTTCCAGATATACCTTGTGGTCCCCTACTAGTGGGGTATGTACAACCTGGCGATAACAACCCGGCGGTGTGCTTACGATGTTACCATAAAAAAGTGTGCAAGTTTTAGCACACGCTCACAAAAAGTCATTTATGGGGTACCACTTCTAATGCCCCGCAGGGCATAGGACACCGAATATACAGTCATTTGAAAGACTTTACTCTGTGGGGTCCTGAAAAAATACCCCACAAAGTAAAAATGCCTCACAAGGGGTATGTGAAGCGCACATAAAACCCCACAAGAATGCTGAGGCGCGCGCGCACGCACACACACACACACACACACACACAAAAAAAAACACGCACTTGCACAACAAGTCCTAGGATTGTGTACCTGTCTATATTTGTTTCCTTTCCCTAGCCTTTTTGTATCTTGGTATTTTTTGATATACCTCTCCTTTTAAAGGGATCGTTTAACAATGTTAAATCTGAG